TTTATTAGTCATCTGTATCTATTATTCATTGTAATCTGATTTTTTTTTGTCGTACCTTAATTCATTGTACACAATTACCGCAAGTGTTAAATCAAAGATTAATTAGTATTTTTACTAATTAGTGCCTAATTACATAGTTCTTAAATTGTTTTTCAATTTTACATTTTTCAATTTTCTTTTCTTTAGAGTAAACTAGTATTAAGTAATCAGTTATCATGTTTTATGATTTAATGAACATATTCCTTAATTTAAATTTTTATATTTTTTAAATTTAAAGTTTAATCGTATAAGTTCAGATTTTATTTTAAATGTTAGACAAATTCATATGGTGAGATTAATAAACCCAATGTTTTTTTCATGAGCGGATCTTGAGTTTTAAGTTTTTTATTTCCGGCTTATTTAGGTAATGTATTAAGACATCTCATTATTAGACCTTGAATTTTTTTCTTTGTTAATTTATGGATTTCTTTTAGTAAAAGACTAAATGGCGTATATTATAATGCATTTCTGCTCACCAATATTTATATTCAAACAAAATTTTATATCTCATATAATAATTTGCGTTGTTTAATTTTAACTGGAATTCACTTTTCGAATGGTTTTGCGTAGTATGATCTTGAATCTTAAACGTGTTTAATAAACTTGCCGTGGACAACGAGTTTTTTTTTTAAATGTTACATTTTTACTGTAAATATAATTAAATAGGAAGAATTGTCATATACATACAGGGTGTTCTGGTGTATGCTAAAAACCGGACCAACCCGATTGGTTTGAAGGTCATCCCCTGAAGTCTGACATTTTAGGTAACTAGAAAACTACAATATAATATAGCTTAGTTTGGGATAAGGCTACAGTATACTTGCCAGTGTTCAGCAGTTCACAGGTGAGATCTTTATCATAATAATATTATATCAATTTCAAATAAGTTTTGGTGTTTTATGTTAGTTACTTGTTGAATTTTTTCGTATTTATTGTAGAATAATTTTGAATTCGTATTTCTTATTAAAATACATAGTGTTTTGTTAATTAAATAAAATATTATTTAAATTCCGTTTCATTTAACGTTTGTTTTAGGTTTTTGTTGTGTATATCTAAATATAATTATTTTGTTGAAGTACCTATAATCAAAAATAATTTGGTTAGTATAATTTAATAAGATATCGTATTCGGATATACCTTGTAATACAATCGGATATGTTAAGATTAATTAATTTACCAATTACATTAAAAAAAAAAAATCATTAAATCAACTAGGTTATTATTAATTTTATTATTTCATACTTAGGACTTATAAGATAAAATCTCAAAAATTAATTTTAATCGTATTTATACATAACAATATCAATACACAGTATCTATTATATATATATATATGTTATATATATATATTTGTTTTCTGTTATTACTAATTAAGAATATTTTTCAAGATACATGCAACGGTTTAATGGGCATTTAATAGTAATTTGCTAGATTATTAAATTTCGTTAATAATATTTTATTTATTAAATGATATAGTTTAATTTAAGCTGTATATGTAATAAAGGCACTATATAATATTATATAGCTAATTGTTGGTAGTCAAACGTAACATTGCAGTCTTAGGTATGGTATTTATCTGTTTATAACACGTGCGCTTTATATCATAATAAATTAAAATAATATTTTTTATGTATAACATAATGTCTAAATACAAATTTCACAAATTCATTCCATAACGAGTTTACAGATGTTCGATATATTCCTCACAGCAGTGTTTTTATTTTATTTAACCATGTATACTGTTTTAGAGTAATGCTATATATACTGCGATGTATAGCTAAAAAATAAACATGATACATAATATATAAGTGTCTATCTCCATGTTCTGTTTTCTAACACCAAAATCGTTTGACTTTTAGATCTTTGTTTTTTTTTTTTTTTTTTTTACAAAAGCAGGTTACATTGAATTTGAATAAAATATAATCGTATTGTTTTTTGACACTCGTGGCAATGACTTGATTTTTGTTTTTATCGCACAGACGTATCATATGATGTTAATTATATAATTCTTAATTGTGTTCCAACGGATTCCTATAGTATTCCGACGTCCTTCCCCATGGAGGCCAACAGGAAGTTCCATCGACACTGCGTTTGCAAATTGAACCCAATCTAGTTTTCGAATCCGATAAAATCTCTTTAAACATTATATATCTTGTCCGAAGATTTACCGAGTTTCAAACAATCACAGCCTGCCAAACGTCATTACTCGTAAATTCGTAATTTATTGAGTCACAGTAGCATACGTGTATATGAAAAAAAAATCGGTGTTCAGATAATAGTTGTTGACCTCTTCCTTATAATAATATATTGTTTTATACCGATAAATGTCGTTTATTTGTATTTTAAATTAATATATAGATGTACCATTTTAGTTATATAGATTATTATTTAGTTATTTTTCTAAAAAAAAAGCTGATGACAAAAAAATAGACTTTACATTTTTATTTTATTTTGGTTAACAATTAAAATATAATTGCTTAAATAAAATATGGTTTAATTTTTAAATTAAATTGATTTTAAAAATGTATAAAAATAACTATTTATTTATTTTATATTTAAATTAGAAACCTTGATAGTTGAGTATTGTTCGATGCACATATTTCTATAAAATTTTTTGGATTATTGTGAAAGTTTTTTGTCCTTGTGTGATAATAATTAAATCTTCTATCTTCTAAATCTGATGAATCTTTACATGGCATTTTCTTTTTACGGTAATTTTAATGATCAAGTTTGTCGGGATATTCAAATTGGTTAAATTTATTCACAAAATTATGAAGATCAATTAATAAATATCTATTAAAAATGTTATCGTCATGAAGGTTATTCATTGAAGAGCGTAAGTCAAGATTCTTATACATTTTTATATTACTATTATAATATATATAATCTTATTTTTAATATTTAATTATTTAATACTTGGTTTTTTATTAACACTCACTTACCCACCCAATTTATAACTGTACCTATTGAATGAACAACATCTTAACCCTATTATAATTACGCGTGACCATCATCGGAAAATTCATGAATACAATAATATAATTATTAGTTACAATTATAATACTCATATTAATAATATTTTAAATGTTTCGTTCGAAATCAACAAAGAAGGAACCAAAAATGTAATGTTAAACGAAATGCCTATACCTGTGGCGCGTGAGTTTCTCACCGATCAGGTGTTAGATATTGAAAATATATTATTACAAAACGAGATTTTCGCATTTCTGTTCAGACATAGATGTATAAGATAATAAAATTCGCTAATTTCGTCCTATTGGTATTTAAAAATGAAAACAAAAATTACTGGTGTTCTGGGTATATTGCAGATAGTCATGACGGGGTGGTGGCGATTTGTATTTAATTATATTTGTTACATGCTTAGTTGATATGACTATTAATTTTGAATTTATCACGCAAATAGTTACCTCACAGGAAATGCGTTATTCTAGCCTTTATTGCGTACGACGTAGTAGTATTATTACATAATATGGCTAGAATTTCGATGCACTTTGCATTTTTTTTCATCTGTTTACGTTTTGTCGTGCTAATTTAATCTTATTTTGAATTTTTCGGTTTAAAAAAATTGTTTCAAGTTATTGGAATTTTATATATATTCTACTATCAGTACAAATAATTAAAAATTTAAATTTATCTAATCTTGAATTTAAAATTCCATATAATTAAAATAAAAAACCGATACGAACTTATAGAAAATAAATATCTACCTGGATAACTAATAATTTTATGGTCATTGAATACAAATAACCTAAACTCAGGTTCATAAAATTTATAAATTCTACTTAAAATGCTTTATAGTATTGTCGAAAGGTATGATACAGCTGTGTAAAAATACAAAACCATTATGTCATATCGATATAATTACGTCAAACACGATTTTTTGTCTGCATATTTCGTTCACTTTCCGACATCTTCACGCGTCATTTCCTTAGAAAATCGCGCGCGCTGTACACGTAATGACTGTAACTAAACGTCGGGTGAGCGGACAACATAAAATTATGATATATATTGATCGACCGACGACGATAATAATACGATTCTTAGATAACGATTTTTTGTTCATTTTTCGGCAATGGTATGAGTAGGTTAGGTTACACGTAATTTTTCACAGATATTGCATAGGCACACTAATTCTATTTGCTGTCTATATATATTATACGCAACGGCATTTTGGCGTGTCGACGATGGAGATTGAATGGCGAAATCGGATTTGTGACACAATACTAACCTAACATGGATATTTTTATATGTATTATGCTTGCCATAAAACACTTGTGTAGTTTTTCCCGGTTTTTTTTTAAGTCACTTTTTATATTTTGTATATATAAGAGGTATACAAACGAAATTTAATTTTACGTGATTTCTTGAGTCATATCCAGTTACAACAATCGTTTAGTTTTAGAGAAAAAAAACACCTCATATCGATTGAACACTTACCCATATTATACCTGCGTGTAAACGTTATCAATAGTTAAATACACACTATTAGTATATTATGTTTTAGCAGAATCATTGAATACTAGTTGAACAATTTATTCGTTTATTATTATTATTTTAGTACATTACGTGGCTTATAAACTACTTTACAGTCGTATTTTCCGTTTCCGTGTGCGCATAACCAGTTTTTCTTGATCGGTACATGTTACAGAGGAACCGGGAAAATGAATCAGAAAAAAAAAAGCGATCAATAATAATAATAATTTTATTCACAATCGCATATAAATGCGACAATGTGTGTTTGCACAGTGCGCACATACGTACCGAGCGCGAAGAACTCAACTCATCGCCGCGAGTAGAAAATTGTTTGCGAAGTCACATTTTTTGCCCCGTTAATCATAAATACATAATATATTCTTTTCAAATTGTTCACAAGCACTCACAATTTGGACGATTTACAAACGAGGTGATGTACCCCGTCGGCATTCTATATTTATAAATCATTCCTCAAAAATACTCGTGTCACAAAAAATAACATTTCTTTGATTTAATAAAATTTAACAGCGTAATTTCTCGCTGCGTTATTCGTTACGATTATTGAATTCAGTCGCCTGTACTTAAATACGGTTGTAAGTTTGGTGTCGTTCAAGTCGACGCGACTTATTAAACGGTACGAAATAATAAAAATATATCGTCGACAACGACGACGATATTACGATATTATTATAATTACTTATTTATTAAGCGTAAAAACCGCGGCAACAAGCAGACGTACGCGCGGAACGGGTTTGAGCGCCCCGACCTTGCATCCCTCGAACGGTCTTGACCCTGTACTCGGAACACGACAAACCTGCTCCGGCGGTTCGGTTTGGCGGTGAGCGAATAATAATAATAATAATAATAATAGTAATAACCATAAACGACCTGCCGCACGTCGACCGGCCGCGGAACGTTGCCCGAATAAGCCCGTGTCTAGTCAGTCGTCGTTCAACCGTCCGCCGTCACACTAGTCGCTGCAGCTACCGTCGCAATCGCGTCGTGTCGCTCGCGCGTTGGCCAAACGTAATAAGTTGTGATATTTTGCAATAGTCGCGATCCAACCGTCGATATAGCCGCACGTACGCGTGGGTTCTGCACCGTCACATTCGTATTCGCATTTCGACGATTGCGGAGATATTTTATTACGCCTAAATAGTAATAATATTTTTTACGTTTCATTCGGTCTTAACATCGTTTAAAATGATAATGATTTCGAGATTTTGATGTTTTTTTAAGTTGGAAATTATTGTTTTCTAAAACTTTTGTTTTGTTTTGTTTTTTTTTTTTTTTATTCGCAAGACAGGTGAATTCAAAAGACATTGTCGCCGTATAATTCACCCTCCGACTTAACCATGGCGGTTGCATTGAACGCAATTCAAGGATTTTTCGACAACTATGGAGGTGAGTTGATTTTTTAAATTCAAAATTTTTAGTTTTATTGACTAGGTATAGGCAGTGTATACTGTCTGAAATGATTGGATGAAAATTATTAATTTATTTTTTATTTTTCTCCAGTTAAAGGAATTTAAAATTGTTTACCCTAAAGTTGATTTAATTTAAATTTAATTTAAAGACATGAAAATGCGTTTTGTGTAAGGTACTTTATGTTTTTGACCAACAAAAATAAATTATTCTTATCACTATCAAATATTCCATCATAAAAAGTATTGAAAGCGTTATAATTTATCCATTGGAACTATAATAGTATACTATATAATTTTTGCTCTTTTTTTAAAATATATAGATCAATATATAAATACATTTGTTTAGAAACTTCATACTTATATAATACAGTATAGTTTAGTATATTTTATAGTTATTTATGATTACTTGCTTGTGGATAAAAATAAAATTAGAAAACATGTTTAAACAGAATAAACTTAAAATATCAAATTATGTCCAAGGCTAATGTCTTAGATATTTTTTGAGTGATTTAATTTAAAACGTAAATGAAAAAAAAACATGTTAGCAAATTAATTTAAATACAATTATTAATATACATATTAATTATTTATTTTATATATCAATCATTTAAAAATAATTTTTTAATCGATTTCAATATTGTGCTATTATTAATTTTAATGATTCGTCGATCGATTTCATAATATGCTCGGCGTTGGTATCGACAATCGTGTAACCTATTGCAGAAAGGAGTTGACGAATTCATAACATATTATATGATAAATTAAATTTTAATTTCAATTTTTGTTTTGTACGAAAATGTCGTTTGCAGATGAAAAAAAAAAAAATTACTGCCATCGCGCAAATCAAGTTTTTACGTTTCATTTATGTACGAAAAACTGTTCGTTTATAAGTTATATTGTGATAATAATAATAATAATAATAACACATTATTAAATGGTTATATTTATATTTATACATTGTATATTCTCTCTAGATCCTCGTACCAAGGATTGGTTTTTGATGAGCAATCCTCTTCCTACGGCACTAATATGCGCTACTTATGTGTTCACCGTCAAAGTTGCGGGACCGCGATTCATGGCCAACCGCAAACCCATGGAGTTGAGGAACGTACTTATCGCTTATAATCTTTTCCAAGTTATATTCAGTTCTTGGCTGTTTTATGAGGTAAGCGTGGTTATTATTGTGATATAAAAACAATAAAAAAGTATAATAAAAACAATGACTGCACTTCAAGATCGTTTTAACAATATTTAAGGCGATCGTTTGTTATATAAACTTTAAAATTATGGTTTTCTTCGTGCAACGAGTTTTGGATAATACATTTATATTCGTGAAAATTCGCCTAACCGTTGCACGTTTATAGAAGAATAAACGTTTGAAGGTAATCACTGAATAGGATTAAAAGCGACAGAGACAAAAATTCGCATTAATAGTTAGCCAGTTAGGTAAATAGTAACTGATATTAAAATCATAGGTTAGTGAATGCTAGAAAAAAAATTGGATATCATTAAATAATTAATAAAGGTTTTGTGATGTAAACGTGAGCTGAAACAGTTAAAAATATCGAATGAATTGACAAACTTGATTGTGTTGATATGCACATTATTTGAGTGTTATAGAGAGTTGTATATGTTTATGGTGTAAAGAAAAATAATAATAAATGTATTTTAAAGGTATAATTAAAAAGAGTGTCTGTCTTCAGTGTGGGATTGTACGTTTTTCTTTTTTGAAAATTAGTACTAAAATATTACACTTCTAATTTCTTTTTAAAATTCAAGTCATTTACGTTAATATGGTGAACAGTTTATGGCTGGGAATTTACTTGAATATTCTATCTTTTAATATTACGTAGAGTGTATCAATAAATAACAATGATCATTTTTTCTTTTAGGTCTAGGTATGTCGTTTTTAAAATTCATCCTCATAATATAACATTTTGCTTTACACAATATGATCGATGAGTGGTCTAGTGTCTTTTGTTTATTCACTTATTAACTACTCGTATAAAAACACCACTCTTTCATACTTACACATTTATGTATTAAATATAAAAACATATTTCATGTATACGAATTTATGTAATATTTAGACGCACCACCACTTGTTTATTTTTAGTTATTTCATTAAACTTTCATAACTTACTGTCATAATTTTGTAAGTTAAATGCTCATTAATTTATTTTTCTATACATTTACTTGATGGGCATTGCAGTGTTTGATGGGCGGCTGGTGGGGTGAATATAGTCTCAGCTGTCAACCGGTAGATTATTCGGATAAACCGTCCACAGTAAGAGTAAGTTGACAAAACTGAAATGTGTCAATAATTTCAGAATTTGATAAAATCAGCCTCGTGTACTTGACACAAATTTTTCAGGCTGCGTTGAGATACGCCAACAACAATGTAATAACTAATAATATTAAAAAAAAAAAAAAAAAAATGTATACAATGAATTTCAAATTAATAGTTACAATTAGACACACAACTCTATGAATAAATTAAACAAATGAAAAACGATTAATTGGGTAAGTATAAAAGGCGTACAATAAGCTTAGGAAAATGCATGGTTTCCATTCAAAATTAATTTTGGATGCGAAATGTAAAGAATAATCGGATATTTTACACATTTAACACTAACACACTATTATATATATCTTCTGGCTATTAAAATCATTTACATATCATAACTATAACACATTATAATAATATATATTTTATCGTGTAACAATACCTAGACCAGATTTAGCTGACGACTAAGTTTCGTTTAGTTTTATTTGGGACTTAATTTTTTAATTTGTATTATTTACGAATATTACATGACGTGAATATATTATATTGAGTGAATGCTGAGGTGTTGTAGTGTTTATAATTTTTATTTAATTTTTTAAATAACATAAATTACATAAATTACGTCTGTTAGAAGGTTGTGAATATATTTCCTAATACTCTTGTATAATGCATAATCTATTGAATGCTGCTGGGTTTTGGTATGTATATATATATATATATATATATATATATATATATATATATATATAT